CCAATCAAATTGTTCAACTATGTGAAATACAAATTTTCTTGGAAAATTTGGGACTGGAAACATATTAAGTCTGATGCTTATTATTAAAAAATGTATATAAACATACTTATGAACCCTATTGCCGCCTTTGTCATAAGCTTTCATTGTAATGGTTACTGAGCACCTATGAGGGGCCAGCAATAATGCCTACAAATAAAACAGACTAAAACCCCAGACTTCACAGAGCTTACATTCTAGTGGAAAGAGAGAGACACACAATAAAAATTAACATTAAAAAAATAGAGAAATTATGCAGTGTCCTAGATGGTGGCAAACACTATATGAAAACAGCACAGGGTGAGAAAATCAGGGTGGAGATGCTATACAGTTTTAAATAGTGTGGCCTGGGTGTGCCTCATTGAGAAGGTGATGTTTAACCACCAGGGAAGCTGATCACGTGGTTACACAGGCAGAGGGAATTATGGGCAGAGGCCTATGCAAAGGCCCTGAGATGGAGCCCATCAGTTTGAGTGAGTAGGAGGGAAGAGCAATAGAAGGTGAGGTCAGAAGTTAACAGGGGCCCAGTCAATGAAGGATTTTGTAAGCCATTGTTAGTGTTTTGGCTTTTACACTATGGGACTTATGCAGAGAAGTGACATGATCTGACTTCTGCTTTACAAGGATCAGTCCTTGTTGGAACAAATGGTAAGGAACAGGAATGGAAGCAGGAAGACCAAGAGGTGAGAGATGGGCTTGTCCCAGGGTGCTGATAGTGGAGATGATGAAAATTGACCAGCTAACATACACAGTTTAAAGGTCAGGCAAATGAGATTTTCTAACTGATTAGATATGGGGCAAGAGAGAAAGGGGAGATGAGGAGTAACTCTAGGGAGATGGCTCTGAGCAATTAAAAGGGTGGCATTGCCATCAACTGAGATGGAGACAAATGGAGCAATATTGCAGGGGTATTGATCAGAGGTTCCATTTTGAATATATTTTTTGAGATATTGATGAGTTCTTCTAGTAGAGATTTTAGGAAGGCAGAAGATAGAGGCAACTGGGTCAGAAGAGTTTTGCTGCAAAGGAAAGCGAAGAAATGGAGTGGTAAATGGCAGAGATGGTGCAGTCAGCAGAAAGCTTTGATTTCCATTGTTTGTTTTAAGGTGGGAAATACTATAGCATATCTGTATGTTGAAAATAATGTTCCATGAAAGTGGAAAAATTGATGAAGCAGGAGAGAGAGGGGAGAATTGTTGGGACAATGACCATTAGCAGGTAAGAAAAGATGGGATCTAGCACACAAATGGAAGGATTGGCCCCCTAAGGAGAAACACAGAAACAAGCACAGATGGTAGAGAAATGGACACAAATGCTGGTAAATATGCTGGCTGGAGGTGGGGAATTCTCATCAGTTGTGAATGAAGATGATGAAGGAGGTTTTAAAGTGAAAAAAAAATTAACTAGAAACGTGGGAGAGTCAAGAGAATAGGGAAACAATTTGCAGACAGCACTAAAGATGAAATACATATAAAGCATCAGAGATCTACCTAAAGTAGAATATCACTAATTTACAGCAGGACAAATCTGTACAAATTATACAGTGAGGCAAGTTTTTCTGTTTTTCTCTAGTCCTGTTCAGATGCATTATTATAGTTGTGTAGTAGACAGAGAGATGGATTTAGTGGCTTCAGCAAGGAAAGACACTGAAACCAAAACACACAAGGAATTGAGGAGACAGGGAAAGGTAGGACTATACTGATTGCAACTGGGATTTAAGGTTGATCAAGGGGGAAGAAAAGGCATCAAGAGGGTGACAGTGAAAAGGTAGTAGGATCAATGGACTGAAGATCGAGGTGGGATCAACTTGATGGAATAATGGTTCAGGAAGGAGTGAGCTAGAAGATATGAAGCAGTGTTCATAGAGTGGGAAGATAATGGAGATATTGCAATCAGGGTAATGACAAAATCCAGAATAACTATCTTTTTATTTATCCAGGGAAAGGTACTATAAAGGGGAAAAATAGAATGTAGCTAGAAGAAAATGAGAAAAGACTAAACACAGTACTGTTGAAAAGACTGGTAGTTTTCAGAAATTAATGCTAAATTGCTTCATTGGGAATTTTGTGGATATGGAGAAAACAGTGAGAGGTGGCAGCCAATACAAGAAAAGGGCACTAGAAAGACTTCATTTCTCAAAAAGAAAAACCATATTTATAATTATTGCACCAATTTGAAGTTTATTTGTGTTATAACACTCCTCTTTTCAAATGTATTTAACAATCAGTCATCTACACCTCAGTATGAATTACAATAATTAGACTCTTCTAAGGCTCTCCTATCTCTAAACTTAGATATGAGGAAGTGGAAGTTGTAGAAGATGGCATGATAAACCTCAGGTGATGTTCACATCAGCATCATTCATAAGTGGACAGAGAAGGCACTGCAGACCCCTGGGGAAGGATGATATTCCATCTGTTATGCTAGGATCACTGATTATCCAACTCCTTCCTTCTAGCAAAGGCCAGTCCCTCTATCTGCACGCAGAAGCCCACTCATATCTTCACTAGCTATCCTTTCTTTCTTTTACAAAATCAATGGCTCACCCTCTATTGGATCATTCCGATTGGCTTAGATATCTTTGGCAACTTCTTTTGATCAGAAAGCCATCAAAAAGACATACCTCCTATACCAACAGCACTGGGATAGGTTTAAATATATAGAATTATTAAAAGCAAAATTACTTTTCATTGTGGAAAAAATTTTATTATCTCTCAGACAACTATGGTCATAGCTAAAGTCTGACTATTAAATCATTAGGTCGTTTTTTTTTTTAATAAGTATCACCCATTACCTGGAGGCAGTTTTCCCTAATTGTGAAATATTTACTGTGATTCTTAAAAGGAAACAAACTCTCCCCTATGCTCAGTTTGCAAGCTTATTAAATGTTTATGTGGCAACAGCCAAAAGGTTTGGCTAGTCTGGAAAGAAAAAATAAAAACCAAATAAGTATTTAGCTACATTTCGAAGGCCGAGAATTATGAAAAGAGGAATCGAATTCAAAAGGATCTCTGAATGTTTACCTTGGGACAATTCAAATATTATCTCCTAAAGAGACCTTCCTTGCCTGCTTTAAATTAGCTAAACACCCCACCACACTGCCATCCCCACCCAGGAACTCTATAGAAAGCCCTACTTTGTTTTCTCTGCAGCACTTACCACCTCCTAAAACTGTGCCTATGTGTTTGCTTTTCTCATGTCTGCTTTTCACCACCAAATCTAAGGCCCAAGAGAACAGACAGTGTCCATGCCCCTCAGAACCCGATCGTCAACCTAAATCATGGTATATGCACAACAAATACTGGTTGACTGTATGAATTCAACCGTGCCACAACAATCATTTCTTCTACGTGTAGGGCATTGAAAATATTCATATTGTGAACAGTTTTAGATCTCAGGAGACCTTCACTTATCATCTGATTCCCAGCAACATGTTTGAAATTAAGATTTTATTTTTCACTCCAAATGATTCATCCTTTCCAACCAACCACACTGGTACCAACACACACCAGCTGACATGCAGGTGATATGTAGACATTAATTCCCACAACAGACCTACTGATGCAAGCTGGTTCCTCAGGGAAAGGATCACCTCTTTTCACACATGAGTTGGCCACTCAGTAAAGCATGAACGCTTAAGCTCACATTCCATTTAGACTATGGGAATTGTTTTCATTACTAAATACATCATTCAGATCAACCTGAGAATTTTGAGGGGTGGTAGACTAGGAAACATACCTTAGAGTCATTTAACAATGTTCTACCTAAGGATAATAATTTCATGGTTAAAGGAAGGAATAGGAAATGGGAGGGACAAGACAGACTTTGTTTATGTAGTGAGGATGCAGATAATTACCAAGGGTTCTGTGCACATTTGGATGAGAGAAAGAAAATAAAACTGGTCATGATATGGGATTAATTATGCATGCTGCCTGAGTCAGAATGTTGGCTACAAGCCCCAAATGTGCTCCTTGGTCTGGCAGAAAGAACCAAGAGCTATTGACAGAGAGGAATAAAAGCTGCAATAATGTTGCATGGGAAACAAAGACTCCCAGCTATTATTCTATTATGTTATCAAAGTGACTTGAGAAAAATCTCATTTCTTTTTCAGAAATCATTTCTCTGTAGAGTGTTGAGCTTACATTTTGATATTGGAATAGCCATTATATGTTGAAAGATCTTCCCCAGGCCACTCCAGTCCTAGAGATCCAGGGAAACCATCAAGGGTATAGTAACCATTGCAATTATCTTGGACTCTTGAGCCCCCAGCCGTGGAGGGCAATCCACTCCTAAATGTCCAAATTCTTTCCCATTCCCTTTGGTCCCAGGGGTTCCCACATGCTCCTAATCTTTTGTTCCTAGAATGCTCTGCTCTTCCTCTGGTGGCAGCTTCTATAGCAGCTCCTCATTCAGTCGTGCTGGTCCCCTCCTATTGGGCCTCCTTCTTTGCCCTCGTGCTCAGAGCTCACAAACTGAGGGCTAGGTCCTCTTTTCCATGGTCTTTGGAGTTGATCATTACAGCTCCTACTCAGGATCTGAGGTCAGATTCCTTCAGGTTGAATTCAGAGGCAGTGTGGGTCGTACACATGACCTTGACCAGTAATAATGGATCCGTCTCCCAAACTGAGGCACATGTCTTTTCAACAGTGTGTGCCCTGTTGAAGGTGAGTGTTCTGGGCATTTCTACCAGTTTCTGGACCCCCAGAGTGAAAGAATCAGTTCCTCGGTGTCCAGCTGTTTACCCTAGGAGCCCATGTGCAAAATGCCCTGATATTACAGCATTGCCAATGGGTATGGATAGGCAGATTAGGCGTCTTCCTACCCTGCATCCCACCATTCTTCTCTTGTGAAGGTCAAGCTCTAATGTAGTGTGAACTTTGTGCCTTTGAAGCAAATGGAAGTGAGAAAGTTAAAAGCTCAGCTTAGCAGCCAAAAGCTCTTTCTTGTTTATTGCAGAATCTTACCTGAAGTAGAGAGACACCAACTGGAAAAAGAAAGAGGGAGGGAAGGAAGGAAGGAAGGAAAGAAGGGAGGGAGGGAGGGAGGGAGGAAGGAAGGAAGGAAGGAAGGAAGGAAGGAAGGAAGGAAGGAAGGAAGGAAGGAAGGAAGGAAGGAAGGAAGGAAGTAAGGAAGGAAGGAAGGAAGGAAAAAAAAAGAAGGGAGAGGGAGGGAGGGAGGGAGAAATGAAGGAAGGAAGGGAGGGAGGGAGGGAAAGAGGGAGGGAGGAAGGAAGAAAGGTGAGAGAAAGAAAAAAGTTAAAATCAGTGGTATGGACTATAGTAAATAGAGGGAAAAAAAATACTGACAATGAATCAGCTAACATTTAGGACTTCTCTGTAGCAGTTGAATATTTATCCCTAGAGAGGTCAGTGGACTGCCATGTAGTATCTATTCAATCAGCTAGAACATTTTGCACTTTAGTATACTGAAGTTTGTAAATAAAGCTAAGCTCTGAGTTGGCTCCCAAGGGGGAGATTATGCAGCTTGTTTTGGTGGAATGTCTAGATGTAAGAGAAAAAATGGTCATCAATAAACAAATGCACAGAACTGAATCATTACATTCTTTTTTGAGAACAGACCCTTCTCTATTTGAGCCCTCTGTTAGGAAGTTACTGCTTCGCCTCTTTATAAATAATTTTGGGGGCTACCATTTGTACTGGCCTCTAAGCCATCTCTGTACATTTCACCCATTGTGTATCCACTGCATACCATTTGTTTGCACACTAGATGTCAGAATATGTGCATTTGTCCTTGGTAGATTTGTGGGAAGGGGGAGAAGACCCAGCAGTCACACAAAGCTCAACACAAAACTCACAGTATTTACATTGCTCTGTTGGAAGAGATCTGACTACCTTCAATAGCTCCAGGAAAAATAATACTTACTCCAATAGGCCATCATAAAATGCATTTTCTTGCTTCCTCACACACTTTGAACTGGTAAATTCAAAGAAAGGAAAATGGATCTGCCCAACACCCTAAAAGGATGTGATTTTTATTTCATTCATATCCATTTCCAAAAGAGAGATGTAAGTAAAGGAGGTGCATAAGACTATAGCTTGATGGAAATCAAATGTCAAGCAGGCAAACCATAGCAAATTACTAAAGCCTTGGACAAAATTAACCAGAGATAGTCATCTGGCTCGACCTTTCTTTCCCAACTGAATTAGGCTCCTTCCCCTATTCAAGGTCTGCCTTTGAGGGCTAGTTACTATTGTGGTACCATAATGGCTTAGGATTTCATTTTTCAGAATTCCAAGGTCTACAAGGAACACAGTAGACTGCTGTTTGGAATTTCACTTAGGACATTTTCATTTAAATTGTTTTTAAATTTCTCTTCTAAAAAATTTCTTCCATTACAAGATAAAAATTAGATACATACAAAGGGATGTTTTATTGATGAGATTAAAAAATAAGTGGTTAATGGGCAACTAATGTGGGTATAAAGTGGCAGCCATTTCTGTTACTATTTGGACTATACTTTAGTCCTTCAAATTTCATAAGGACTCTAATTAACATCCAGCTCTAAGTGAGTTCCTGCAGCTCTGTTTGTGGCAACTGTATTTCTCGGAACTTAGTGTTCTTTTGAATTCTCACTCCACCCACACCACTGCATGGCTGCTTAATGCAATTCTTTCAGTCTTTGCCCTCTGCGCACATTAAGCGATCTAACTCCTACAGTTAAAATCGCATCAAAAGAGAGGAGAGATGGAGGGAAGAGAGGAGAAGGGGAGGAAGGAGAGGATCTAATGATGAAAAAACAATTTTTCAGAGTATAGAAAATAGAGCAAATAGAGAAAAACTTCTGAATAAACATGTTTGGGGTTTTCTGTTTTGTTTTATTTGTTTAGGCTCCTTTTTAAAGGCCTACCTGAGACAGGCAATAATCATCAGCCCTTACAAAGCATCCATCTCCCCAAAGAGGGACCCGTTGAATATTTCAGAAGTAAACTTTCAATTGGCATCTTTCAAAACACTTCTTTCCAAAAATCTTCAGGCTAGAATTACAATTGTCTGGAATCCAATCTGTCAGTAAGCAAAACCTCAGAGCCTTCACTCTTAATGGTGAAATGGACTGAAGGGCAGACACACTGACAGCTGGCTCATTTCTTGCTTTGCCATGTAAATCCACTTTAACATAACTGGCTTGCACTCCAGCTTCCAGACTGATGGCTCTGCCTAGAAGCCAATCTAATTGGATAAGCTTATAGCATATTTCCATAATATCAAAGAATCAGACCAAACCTTCCAAGATTTCCATAATCAGTCTAATGGAAAGACTACTGGACAGAGAATGTTACCATTTTAATGAATTGGCTCCCTGCTCAAATCAGTTCGCCCATCTATGCTCCAGTTCCCCCATGTTAGAAATGAATATATTTGATAGTTTCTTCATTTATAGAGAAAGATGAAACTCTGGTCTTTCTCCTGAACAAGTCAATTACAGAGCTGGGTTATATGTGTAGAAAAATGCATTCAACAAATGTGAAAGCATTGAAAGAAAATATAATGTGTCTACAAGAGCTAATTGACCTGAGAACTTGTCTTATACAATAATAACAATAATCATAAAAATAAAAGTTGCTATTTATTAAGTTACTGTCATGCTCCATGACCACCTTTATTTAAATATTCATTTAACCTTAATCAAAAAATTTTATGAGAACTCTTATTACTATAAGTTTACCCTGAAGAAACAAACTGTCAGAGATATTAAGTGGTTTTTCCAAACTCTCACCCATCTAGTAAGTGGGAAAGTTAGAAAATAAGCCCATGTCTCTCTGATTTCAAAACTACATAGATTTATGAACTTTCTACTGTCAGAGAATCAAGATTTTGGTGTATGCAAATTAGCTAAGAACCATTCATAAATACATATGGACAAATATATTTAAAATATGTGTGTGTATATGTATACATATGTATGGTCTTCGAACACCACCTACCTTAGATAGCAAACTGGGGATATAAGCCTGTACATGAACAATTTAGTGGGTCTGTCATTTCATCGTCTGCTAAGGAATCTGTACTGGGGGGATCATGCAGTCTGTCTATGATGACCTAGAAAATCAGGGCGTCTGCTAAGGAATCTGTACTGGGGGGATCATGCAGTCTGTCTATGATGACCTAGAAAATCAGGGGCTGGCCCCCAACTCATTCTCTTGGTAAATTCACCCAATTTGTCCAAATCTAAAAGGCTCAAAAATTCAGCTCAGCTGTCATCTCTGCAAGGATGACTTTACTGAACTCTGGCCTTCCCACTGCTGAGTCTGACTGTGGTGACCTAGCACTTTTTACACAGTGTTTATTTGTCTTCTGTTTACCTCCTGTCTTTTCCAATAAAAGGAGTTCATTGTCTTATTCATCTCTGTCTCTAGCACATAACACGATATCAGTTACATAGTCAGTAGATGTTTAACCCATGTGTGATGTATGGAGAGGTGAATGAACGAACAGTCAGAACTCAGAGTAGTTGGGCTTCCTTTAAGTAGTGACACTCCTTTCCAACTCCATATCCATTGCATTCTTGTGGAAGCCAGACTGTTCTTTGAATCTTCTTAAGGAATGCAAGTTTTTGAGATCTAAATATTAGAACCAGGAGTCCCCATCTCTAAACTCTGGAGTCTAGTAAAACTATGGAATCAATGACATCTTTATGGGGAGGATAGATCCTCAACGATCAGTTTCAATTTCTCTGTTGTATTTATTATCCTGGTACAGATTTAGGGTATTTCTTAAGCTATATCAACAGAAACTGGGATTCAAACTTAAGGAGAAAAGAAAAAGGGAATGTAAAAATTCCATGAACTGAAAGGACCCCATGCAATATTTCTTTGTGCAAATCTCAGGCAAAACTTCCAACTACTCAAGTGTGAAAACTTGTATTCAGTTACTCTTTAAAATGACAAACTTGAAAAGACAAAGAAGAAATAATTTTTCAAAACAAAAGCAAAGGAAGCTCAAGCTTTTCAAGCAGCTAAGTACACCAGAAGCAAGTTAAAACAATTTAAACATCCAATTAGTATGTTCCATCACATCTTGCGAGCACCATTCAAAATACTTTTGACTTCAGGAACATTCTTTGGCCTAAACATTTTAAATGTTATTTTGAATTGACTGGCTACAAATGAAACTGTCCAGTGAAGATATCATAGTGGAACAACATTTTTTGAAACACCCAAGCCCACAAACAATGCTGAGGGAAGGGCAGCTTCCTCACTCTGCTAACAAAGGAGAGGAAGTGAATAAGGCAAAGGTCCTCACTAAATGCTCTGACTCAAAACACATACATTTTAAGTTCAGTCTAGACAGCTCCTTTGATCCCTTCGGTGGTGCGCACCATACCAGGGTATGCCCTCCACAGCGTGTAGGTATGTGTATGGTAAACTGATAGAGGAGAATGCATTGTGCTGAGGCACCTACAGTCCTTCATCTTGGTGGAATGATAGTTACAGTGGATCCTTCAACAACATGGGTTTGAGTTTCATGGGTCCACTTCCATGTGGATTTTTTTCAATAAATACATTAGAAAAATTTTCAGAGTTTGCATCAATTAACATTTTCTCTAACTTACTCTATTGTAAGAATACGGTCTATAACATATGTAACACACACAATATGTGTTAATCGACTATTTATCATATCAGAAAGGCTTCCAGTCAATAGGCTGTAAGTAGTTAAGTTTTTAGACAGTCAAAAGTTATATGCAGATTTTCAACCGCACGGGGGTCAGCACTCTAAAACTGCAGTTACCCAAGAGTCAACTGTACAGACTCTTGCTTTCCTGTGGTTTAAAGCAATGTTAATTTCTTTTTATGATGCTGACTGTTTTCATTTTGTTTGATGGGTGATGGGTGGGGGTTATTTTGCTGTGGATGTTTGATTTGTTAGTAGGTTATTTTTTTTATCTGTGGCTATTTTCAATAGGCTATTGAATAGTAACTGAGGCTGTGTTCAGAAAACAGCTGCTTTCTTTATCTCCAAAAA